GCAAGCCCAGCGCCAATTGTTGGATATCTTCTGAAGCAGAGGAACGGCTCGGAGATGGAGCATCGTGAATGTATGCGACCTTGTGCAATGGTGTAAGAGAGACTGGGAGGAAAACAAGCGGGGGGAAATAAGAGCTAATAAGAGAGGTCGACTGGATGTTTCTGTTCAAGTGGAATAATTCTGAAGCGGAAGATTCTACATGATCTGCCCTCTGACTGAACCTACCTCACAATTGTTCACCATTTGACTGATTGTTTTCCAGTAAAGGATTTTCATTTTCTTCAACCACATCTGGTGTTAAAGATAAATCCATTCACTCTGAACCTCTGTGCTTGAAGGACAAACTATTTCAACACAGATGCCACCTTGCTATGAACACATTTTGAAGTGAGAGAGCCTGAAGTATCGGCAGATTAATACAGTGCCACTCGAGATAACAGCCCCGACATCTTTAAGTGGTCGAATCTGGAAGTTGTTCCCTGAAATGTGTCTGTTGTGGTTTGTCTATTTCAGCTGTGGGATACTCTTATGTATATAAAATAATCCAAACAGAAGAAAGAGCTTTTGCACATCTAGTGTAATGGTTCCAAAAAGTACAGAGCGGAGACCACCTTTAGGGCTCTTAAATGGATTCCTAAGACAATAAGGAGCCGGATGTTTAGAGAATGCATGCAGATGATTAGTGAATCGTGTATCAGTTGTGTATCAGTACATCAACTGTGTTTCTCACTCCAGAGACTGACAGCCAAAGGAATCTGAAGCAAACTAAAAAAGGCAATATGCAACAAAAGCCATGAAGGAATCCGTCTCACAGTGGAGGCGTCTTGATATCAGAAAGGTAAACTCTGGTACAGATTTGATGAGGCCAAAGTTTCCACACTGAGAAGGACTGGGCCCGCTGGAAGAGAGCAGTAAGGTGTGGATGCCATTGGACTGAAAGAGATTTATCGGGGTCAGCCCTATGGTCCCACATTTCTAAGAATTTTCTCAAAATTAGGCCCTATGTTCCCACAGGGTAGGGTTAGGGTTAGGGTAAATTACCCTAACTGATACAAATTTATGAAAAAGGAAATGTGGGAACATAGGCACGCTCTCGTTTTATCAGGGATGTGTCAAGGTGTTAAATCAAGAGAAACTTAAAGACAGGAGAAAGTGTTTCAAAGTACAATCTGAGGTCAAACCTGCATGGAGCATGCTTTACAAACCAGCGTTAACAAGAAGTACTGGTGATTTACAATGTGCAGTATTGTACATATGTTTTTGTTTCTGTGTTGAATCCTGCCGTCTCAGATCATTTCTCTTTTGCTCCGAACGAGAGACAATTCTTTTATTGTTTTTTTACAGGGTTCTAGATTGAGGTCTCTTTTTGGGATACTCAATACTCTAGTCATGTCTTATGGAGAAAATCTTACTGACCTTATGTTCATTATTTTGTTTCCCCTACAGTAAAAAAAATAAAATAAAAAAGAGAAAAAAGGTCGGCTGCTGAATCTCCTTTTTCGGTTTTTCAGCAAAGCTGGAAATATTTCTCAGTTGAAAAGAAAAAAATGGAAAGAGAACGAGGTGTGATTGTGTAGTGGTGTTTCAACCTCGTTAAATCTCCAATGTAGATGTACTTTTTTTTCCTTGAAAGTTTCTGAAATCACATTCGCAGATGTTTTATTATATATATTTTCTTCTGTGTGACATGTTGTAGTCTGTGACAGTATTCCAAAAAATGTAAATCATTTTGTCTGAATAAATGAATTTTTAAAAACTAAAAAAAAAAGAATCTCTATCTCTCTCGCCGCAGCTTTTAGTCAAAAACACGACTGAAGATGTAAAAAGTTGTTTCAAAGCGTCTGTGCTTTTTCGATACCATGAAGAATTAAAATAACGAGGTCGTATTTAAATGTACCACAGTGACGGAAGTTAAGGCGACTTTATTTCATAGAGATTTCTGACATTATAGTGCTGTGCTGTCTGTGGTCCAATGAAAGAATGAGTGACATGATGAAACACGACAGGAATAACACATGAGCATCATTTTGAGAGATGGAACAAAACAGAGGGATGGGACAGATTCTCCTATTGAAATCAATCTCTCAATATTATTTAAATATTTTGATCAGAAGGATTTTGACGATTGTTAGAGTTCTAATGACATGCCTGCAGAAAATAAGTGGATCTTTTTTTTAACTAAGCAGCGAATTATCCCTCTGTTTGCGCTGCTTTATTATTAAGTCACATCGACAGCTCTGGTCTTTTCACTTTATTTGTTGACGATGACAAATATTGAATAACTTTGGCTTAGATTTGAGTATAAGTATAATTTCGAAAAGGGGCTATAATGTTTAAAGTTATAAAAAATAATCTATAGATTTCATACTGATGTTGTAAAAAAAAATACGTCAGCAACCTAAGAGCGTCACATTAAGATGAAGTTTCTGACTTGTAGCATCAGATCTGGAGCAGAGTAAAGAGCACAGGAGTAACTGTCTGGACCTGCTGTTTTCTGTTGAATGCACTGAGGTATGTCGAGTTATGAACCGGTGCTTAATAGAGAGAAAGATTGATTGGTTGAATTTGAAACAATCCTAATCTGTGGGCTAAATATTTTGTAGTTTTTATTTCTGTTTCAGTGTGATTGGACTACAAAATAACACAAAGACGAAGGGCTCTATTGTTGCTCTTTATGGAGCTCAGAGTAAGTTCAAACAGGAAGACTTGGTTATATTCTCTCACTCCCTCTTTACCACTTTCTCCGTCTCCCTGCTCTGGGGATCAGCTGATTTGTGGCATTTACTCTTTAAGTAATAATCCGCTGCAACCCTCCTCCGCCCGGAAACCCACTCCTCATCACATCCTGCATTCTTCTATCACCACCACCACCAGGGTCCAGACTCCATAGGGGGTATCCTATCCTGCTGTCGGCCTCATTACCCCTCTGAGTGCATGAAGTCATCATGATGGAGTCTAATCACCAAATACTTTGCACATGTATTTCCTAAATTCTTAATTGTTCATTCTTAATAAAGTCTGTCCTGATTAGAAATACTGATGTACTCTATTTTTCTGAACCGGGTCTTGTTCAACAGCTGAGAGCTGGGTGGGCTGGCTATTAGTGTAATTCTGTTTGTCTGTTAAGTGATGCTGTTTTTGTTTGCTTCTGCATTACTTTGTATTTTTGTTAGGACACCCTTGAACATGTGAAGATGCATCTATCCATTTAACTCAATCCACTTCAAACAGGTTTTAAAGACAGGTTGTGGTTTCAGACTGCAGCTCTGTATGGAGTCCGACAGAAGGGGCTGCTGGCTTTAACAGTTAAATGCAGAATTTATGCAGAAAAAAAAGTCAGAGTATCTTTGCCTCTGCAGCGCCCATTTGAACCATTCTTTTCTTTTCTTTATTGCAACTCCCTCAACTACTGAAGCGATGTACTAAATTGCTTGAGGTGCCTTTAGATACCCTAATATTGATTCCAGCTATATCGCCTAACTCCACTCTCACACACTCTGAAAAAAACACGGGAGGCTTAATACAAAAAAAAAGTTTGGAGGCAGCAAGTTTCAAAGATCAGATCATGTTTTTGTATTTTTTGTGTTGTTAAACATCCTATAATGGACACTTATGCACTCATCATCCTCATCGAACACTCGTCTATGCCTTGATTGTTCACTATTCCCCTTTTCAATGCCATTCCAGTGTGGATGTTACGCTCACACTGCCCATTATATTTCATGTCATTAGAGCCCCTGTGTGCTCTGCACTCAGCCTTTCATTTACACACCCTCAACGCTACAGTGCATGACAGAAACGTCCACATTGTCAGCATGTTTCACTTCCATTTGCTAGGGGAGTGCATGTGGGTGTATTAGAATGATATGAGTTGGGTTTGCCTTCTTTCTCTCTCTCTCTCTCCCTCCTCCATGATCTGTCTGACAAGCTCCGGGTCTCTGGCAGTGCAGTGGGTGTTAAGTCTAAATCTGAGGCAGCAGATTCTCTCCTTTCTTTCTCTTGGGGGAGATTTCTTATGGCCACATACAGGAGTCTCGACAAAGTAGCTGACAGGTAAATGTTGTGCTTACATGGTCGAGAGAATTTGTGAGGAATTGCGCGGTGCGTCGCAGGCATTCAGGGTGACTGATGGAGCAACAATATCACACACACGCACATACAAACACAGAGGCAGAGAGAGAGAGGTGGTGGAGAGGAGAGGAGAGAGAGAGGCAGGCTGGAATGTATTCATTGCTTAGGAGAAACAGCAGGAGCACACACACACACACACACACACACACACACACACACGCAGACACACAAACACACACACGTAGGTGAGATGAAGCAAAGCAGAGGTTGAAGGACAAGTCACACTGAGCTCCGGCTGTTATGTAAAAGGATGTGACAGCAGTTAGATTATGATGTTCTCTCACACAGACAAGGGAATCCAAGGTGTTGCAAAAATATAGTCTGCATAAACAAAACAATTTGGCAGCGCTCACACACACCCAAACACACACACACACACACACACACACACACACACACACACACACACACACACACATATTTCCTGCATCTACACGAGTATAAAAGCGTTCACAACAGACTAATATGCAAACAGTGTGCACAAAAAAAGAGAGTTTACGACCCGAGACCCACGTGTGACCCCTGGTGATTATGTGCGCGTGCGTCCACTCTGCACTGTATGCCGCGACACATTCCGGCAGACATCCTTGTTGATGATTAAACGGCTCCAATTAGCCTCCAATCTAGTTCATCTAAAAGCAGATTCTCGTTCCCCTTCTTCACCCTCCTGCTGACCGATCATGCGTCACGACTTGAACGCTGCCACACTCCACCTGACCATCCCAAACCCCGCGTTTCTGTGGCTATGTGTATCAACACGGGGTGTGCGCTGCGCGTAGAAGAAAAAAACGCGCCTGGCACGAACACGCACACCGTGGATACTTGCATATTCCCTCAACGTTGACAAACACAAACCCGCGTAAACTCACCCAGGGTGTGAACGCAGGGTCCTCCCCGTGCGTCTCTCCTGATGCGTGTCCGTGTATCCAGTTAAAAAAAAAAGAGATGGACGAGCCCGACCAGCAAAGGCGCTAAAGAACTAACGGACGGCAGCCAAAACGCCACCGACTTCCCTCCTTCTTCTTCTCCTCTCTTTATCCGCTGTACTCTCCTTCTCTCTCTGCTCCCTCACTCACCCCCTCTTCCTCGGGGCAGGGTGAGAAACTGCTGTAATAATCCCGGCATTGTCCTGTCCATCAGCACGTTAAAAATGGATGGAAAAACTCCGCTGCGCGTCACAATAAACGAGTTGAAAGTTCAGAGGAATTCTGCGGTCAGTTTGGGGAAGCTGCCAAGTGTAAATCCGCGTCTCAGAGAACAGTCCACCATGAAAAAAGCTCCAGATTAAGATCTCTTTTTCCAAACATTTGAGGGAATGTGATCGAAAACGTTGCAAAAGCAGTGGAAGTTTGTTTTCACAGAGGCTGGAAACCGGATGAGTGCTGGCGAGGAAACGAGAAGTAATCCTAGGATGATATCTTCTCTCACTTCCTTACCCGGACCCATGAAACTCTCCCTCCGTCAGAGGGGATCGTAGCGCACCTGCGGCCGAAGCGGAGACGCGCAGGTGTCCACAACCCCGAGCAAACCCTCCTCCCCTCCTTTTTTTTTGTAGTGTGTGTTTTAATTCCGCGTTTTTATTCCCCGGTCTGCTGAGTCTCACTGCGCCACGGTCATCACTCAGTGTCAAGCCTGGCGTTGTTTCTCCAAGTAGCTCAGGAAAGCGTCTCTTTTCTCCAGCGCTCTCCTCTCTCTCTCTGTCTCTCTGTCTCTCTCTCTCTCTCTCTCTCTCCTCCACAAGCTCCGTCCACATCCTCCCGTTGTGAAACCACGCCTCCCTCGTCTGCGATTGGCTGAAAAGCGCAGAGAACGGAGGAAAGGGAAGGAGGTGAGCGCGCAACGATGATGCGCACTGTGAGGAAGAGAGGAGAGGAGAGGAGAGAGAGGATGAAATAAAGGGAGAAGAGGAAAGGATGGAGAAAGTGGGAATAGGAGGATACACCCAGATGAAGGAGAGCAAAGGATGGAGAGGACTGGGAAGAAATAGAAGTGTGAATGAGAGAGTGCCAGGGAAGGAGGATAAAAGGATGCAGAGAAACAGTGTGTGTGTGTGTGTGTGTGTGTGTGTGTGTGTGTGTGTGTGTGTGTGTGTGTGTGTGTGTGTGTGTGTGTGTGTGTGTGTGTGTGTGTGTGTGTGTGTGTGTCTGTCAGGGGGGCAGCTGATGCACTGAGCTCTATGTGTTGGGAGTCCAAAGGGACAGACTGGCTAATGAAAGTGAAAATGCTTCCCTCCTTTTTTTTTTTTTCTTTCACTCTTCCTCTCTTTCACCGCAGAGCTTTAGACAAAATGTGTCTGCTGCAGATCTACTTTGACTGCAGGCAAATCTGAATTCATCCTGACAGTGTCCCCCCCCATTACTGAGCACAGTCATACACTGTCTGTCTGTCCGTCTTGTCTCCGTCTCTTTGTAAGAATCTGGTGTCTGTCAGCTCAGCAGCTTTCTTGGCGATGTCTGTGATGAATAAGTAAGTGGTGGAAGGAAGGCTGGAGAGTGAAGTGCATGTTGAATACACTGCCCAGGGGCATCAAAAAGGGGAAATAAGTAACAGTCTTTGCCGCCTCTGTAATGGGAGCAAATGAGGTGGGCCGGATATTTGCGACTGTTGTGGGTGCGCGAATGCACATGTGAGCAGGAGAGCATGCAGACAAGAATGGCTTTGACAGCTGCTGGGAGAGGCTTTGATTGATGGCAACGCTCCGGGGAGTGTTTCAATATGAACTTGGTTAACTCGGAGCCGCGTGGAGCATTCATCACTCGCTGCCATGCAGGAGTGAGATGCACACCGCGAGCTATACAGCTTTTTATTTAGAAAAAGGCACCTGGGGAGCATCTTCACAGAACACAGCAACTACCTATTTTGCAGCTATTTTTAAAGCGCTCACATCAACAAATCTGCAAACACTCCCTCAAATCAACAGCGTCAACGACCCCCTACTGCAGCTGCTTCAAATCGCTCATTAAGTTTCAAGAGTGTAACGATCCGGGAGGTCTGAGTACATGTGACACACTTCTATAAGATTACAAACCAGCCTGTTTGACTTCTGAAAACAATTGGAACATAATATGATTGTGTGATATTAAGGGGTGACATCGTCAACATGTCATTTACGATGTGATAATGTTCAGAAAGCAATTCATTAATAATTTACATTTCACATAAAAAACTCAGAGCTCAGTTGATGAGTCATGTCTTTTTTTTAATGTATTTTTATTGAAGGTTTTTAAAAAAAATATTAAAACAGAAACAGGCAATGGGAAAATAAGTACAAGGAAAAACTCTATACATACATTTTTCAGAAGCTATATGTTCCCAAGCCTGCCTACAAGTTCCCAGTTTCATACATACATATATCCACACAAACCTATGCACATATACATGTCAATCAATACTAATTGATTAATAAAAGATAATTGATGCATCATGTTTGATATTTATGATCAGATGTCCTCTTGTATGGGGGGAACCCCGAGGGCATCAAAGCACGCACTCTGCCGATTGTCACATGACAGAAACAATAGCCAATTGGGAAGCTGCTGACTGCAGAAGGAAAAACAACAACCACATCAAATACAGTTTTACTTACATTGTAACAAATGGCAAATGGTGTTATGTGTACAGTATGATACTGTGTAATAGGTCTGAAAACACAGTAATAAACACAATACTGTAAAAATCACAGTAAAAGCCACTCAGCTATAAATAATCACAGTAACCATTATGCTACTGCAGGAATTCACAGTAATAACTATAATACTATAGAAAATTCTACAGCTGGAACTGTAACGTAAAGCTCATTTTCACAGCATACCATGTCTTCATCCAGAGTTTAACTTCTTTATTTCGTAAAGATTCAGTTAAAAGAAGTCCAAAGCCTATTGCAAATCTGCCTCTCATACTCTGTTTGTTTCCTCTAAAGTCATATTTGACTTCGAGGAAGTTCGCAAGATTTGCATCATTTTTGGTGCATGGGACATGTTAGTGTGCGGAGAGCAACGATGTGTCCAAAACATCCGACCACACACAATAGGAACAAAACTGTTTATGATCTATGATCGTTTGTCGTCTTCTGTTTCAAAATCTGAAACAGTTTTCTGTGGGTCAGGCTTGAAACCACCAGGGGGCTCTCAATCAAAACAATAAAAAAAAGATGACGTTGTGGCTGGTGGGGAATCATGGCAGTGATTCTCTCCCACCCGATGAAAGCGAATTCCGAAATTTTTTGTCTTTGTCAGAGCAGCACATAGTAGCAGCTTTCAGTAGCAGCTCACGCTTTGCTTCCTTACGCCAGTGGTCTTTGGCGTAACATCCGGTGTTTCCATGGCAACAATAAACAACGCTATGTCTGTCATTTGTGGCTTTGTTACAAGATACGTCCCATTACAACTATAACATGACATTTTTCTCTGGCTTTGATAACTTTTGGAATTTTTTTTTTTTTAAATCGACATGATGATTTTAGTAGGATATATTTTGAAACTTCTGGATTGGACTTCCTCTTTGTTCAGCTGGATATCTGCCAATCTTTTGAGACATGTTCAGATTTCTGTATATAAAATGGAAAGGACACTTCTCCGATCACACTCTGTCTTCATTTTGCATTTAGTAAAAGAGAGGTCATCTGTCTTTATAAGTGTCTGTGATAGCCGCCATCAGAGGTTCCTGCGTGGGCATTTATCTCAGTAGGCAGGAAAAGATACATGGACATCCTTCAGCTGTTGTAATTATCCGATGCACGGAGAAAGAACTGTCCCTGCAGTCCAGTATTTAACGTCACAGCCCACGGCAAAAAACGGCGAAAATAATAAAACACAGAGATCAAGCTGAGCTCCAGAGTGGGTGTTGTACTTTCTAAGCCCTGAGACAAAAGAAATACATATCCTGTGGATTTCACTGAGATGCTGTCATCTTTTTTACTCCACTCCCGTCACAGTCTTCTGTTCCAGACGTCTCTGCTTTAATCCCTCATTTGTATCAAGGCAGGATTGGGGGGGGATGACAAGAGAAGGAGTGAAAAAATCCTGTCTTTAATATCCTGATGAGGAGACTTAAAGCACGCTTTGCTTTCGCACTGATAGAAAAAGAAACGGGTTCATCCGGCATGTAAAATGTTCTCCTGTATCAGTGATGAGCGTTTAGTTTTCAGTGTATCAATGTAAACTGAGGGGAGAGATTTGCTCAAGCATTTGTGTTTGTACACACACATCTAGATCTAGAGTTAATGAACACATTCGTCACCCGGTGCACCAGGAGGAACAACACAGAGAAATAATAAGAGGCAAAACCTAAACATAAAGACATGTTTTTTGTTTTTTTTGCAGAAATTGCCTACAGCTTGTTTATGTGCACCTGCATGCAAACGGACCGCTTCACTGTCTTTTCTTTTTTTTTGAGCCAAAGATGTTTAGACAGAGACAACATGTTAATTTACATTGCCTCCTCCACTCATCTGATCTCACTAAAGCTCCATCCAACAACATCCCGCTGACGTCCTCGTTCCCCGTGAGGCTGCAAAAACCTTCAGATGAACGCTGCAGGAAATCAAGTCACTCATTTCTGTGCCAAACAGGCCTGAGCTGCTCCTCTGATGTTGCTCCATGTTTAACTAACGTCCCTTCTGTCGGTGAGACGCTCAGGAAATGAGTCTTATTCAACAGTTGTTATCTTCCATTGGAAGGTTTTGGTGACATGGATAAATCGGATGTATGAATGTTGATGTATCTCAATCAAAAGCACCTTTTTTAAATGGCATGGCCAGATGATAAAAATGGGAGCAAAAATGTGTCAATGGAGGAATAATAATTTTATTCTCATTTTCTGCATTTGTTTTCTCCAGTTGGTGATTTACATGGTCTGCCTGTGAATTTAGAATACACTTCTTTATTTATGTTACAAAACGAGCAGCATGATAAAACAAATGTGAACTCTACATTCCTCCATGTTAGCTGTTTTACTTTCGACAGGCAAAGTTGCCATCTTCCTCTCTGTTGCTCTTTCCCGTCCTCGACTTCACCCTTCTTTAATCAAAGCTGAATAATACATTTGAGCAAACAGAAATGTTCTCCGTTCTCCCAAGTGAAAAAGTGCAGAATGAGAAACTGACTGCATCCATCGCGAAATTCTGTGAAAGGAAATCTGTGTGCCCGGATCTACACGTGTTCACATTACTGGCTTTTAAGTGTTTTGAAATACAAACCCCCATGACGCTGAGAGAGGGGTCATAGTTCCTAGACTCAGACTTGGTCAACAAACACGAGCAATGAAGAGCAACATCCACACATCCATGTCTTTGTGTTATTTTGGTGGCCATTTTTGCTGAGGAGAGAGAGCTGAAGAGAGGCAGACATGTTGGGAGGAGAGAGTTGGGGATGAAATGCAGCAGAGGGCTGAGGTCAGATTTAAACTCAAGGGCGCTGCAAATATAGCCTTATTCATGGGGCACGCAAAGTAACCCCTCAGTCATCCGAACTGCTCAGATCTTTTTGTTACATTTTTCAGCCTGTTAAAAAGTACAATCTGGTTGTGCATTTAAGGGGACTTATTATGAAAAATCCACTTTCACAGTGTTTCTGAACATTTATTTTGGTAACCTGAGTGTCTACTGACCCACAAAATGTGAAATAAACCCATCCAGTCCTTTGTTTGTGGTCTGCATAAGTCTTACAACACAGAGAAAAATATTCAGTTTTTAATTTACTCTTCTTGTGATGTCACAGTGGGATTCTG